TAATGAGAAAAAACTCATGAATAGGAAGAAAAAGTTCAGTGAGAAGAACTTGTTCAACCTTTTTCTTGACTCTATCACAGAAGGAATAGATCAACATCAACATTCAAAGGAAGAGTTCATAATGAAAAGAACTCACTAAATAGGAAGAAGAAGTTCATAATGAGAAGAACTTGTTTAACATTTTACATCCCATCACAGAAGGAGATGGATCGACATTCTCAGTGGAAGAGTTCATAATGAGAAGAACTCGTCCAAAGAGGAAGAAGAAGTTCATAATGAGAAGAACTCGTCTGAAGAAGAAGAAGAAGTTCATAATGAGAAGAACTCGTCTGAAGAGGAAGAATAAATTCATAATGAGAAGAACTTGTTCAACATTTTGCTATATTCCATCACAGAATGAGGTGGATCGACATTCAGTGGAAGAGTTCATAATGAGAAGAACTCGTCCGCTTCATCATAATAAGAAGAACTTGTTCAATATTTCTGTCTTAATAAAGAGAAATCAACTGTACAAAAACTTATTGTCTTTTCGTCTTTGCCCTATTCTTGTTAACACAAGAATGAGAAAAAGGGGCAGCTGTAGACACTAAGTTTGTGTCCGTTTATTATTATTATTATTAAATAATAAAATAATAAAAAATAAAATTACATGCCAACACAGCCGACCAGAGACCTATTACAAACTAAACCCGGATCAACCCAACATACCAGACCCGATCCAGAACCCGAGTTGACCTAAGACCCGATCCAGCCCTGATAACCCAAAAGGCCCTAATGGCTAAGGTTTCCCACATCTAAGCTTCCAGCTGCCAGCTCTATAAACTGTTGGATCTGGTGAGATCCAAGAACCACAGATGATCCAGCAGAAACCCTAGGGTATCATTAACACCCTAGGGTCTACGTCGGGCCTCCACCTCTACATGCCATTCTAACCGTTGCCACGACACCGGTGCCTTAATCGAAAGCCTCCATAAGACGTAAGGAGAGTCGCACACTCACTGCCCTATGGTGAGTCACCACCATAGATTCTGTGACTCACCGAAAGGCACCCTTGTAACTGGTCACAAAGTAACAATCAACGAGGCCTATAAAACCATCACCTGCAAACGATCAAGAACACACACAACAAGAAGAAGATACAAAGAGAAAACATAAAAGAAAACAAGAAGACAACAACGTTCGAACAACCAATAACCAACCGAGAAACACAAACGAAGGAGAAAAGAACTAACCTCGGAGAGCCCAAACGTCGTCGGAAACCTTGTGTAAACGAGGTAAAACCTTTGATTTTGCTTAGATTACTGATTTTGAGAGGTTTTTAGGACTAAAGGTGCTCAGATTCGAGTTCAGGAGAAAAAAGAAAGGTTTTGGTGTATTTTGTAAATTTCGGCCACCGTTCACGACGGTCGACGGTAGTTATCGGCGCCGGAGTACGACGGCGGGCGGTGGCTGAATTCCCTTCGGCGAGGGAATTGTAGAGAGAAGGGAGAGCTCTCTCTCCTAGAGAGAGAAGCCAAAATGAAAAATGAGAGAAATTTGGCCCTTAGGGCCGTTTTTTGGTTTAAATACCCTTCCTCGAACGACGTCATTTAAGGGAGGGGTCTATGCAATGGGTAAACTATGTCTGCAGTCCCTCTGAGTTCTGTAACTTTGCATTTTGGTCACTAAAATCAATTTTTTATTCCTTCTAGTTTAGACTTCAAATTTTATTTTATTATATTTTAGTACCTACCATGTATATATATATTTTGGGGGTAAATAACGTATTTAGTCCTTTTAATTTTAATAATTTATATTTTAACCCCAAATAATTGATTAAGATTAAATTACACTAATAGTACCTAGATTTCATAATATTTTGAATTAGTGCCTTTAATTTTGATATTTTACATTTTAATCCCTGATATGTTAATATTTTGACCATAAGTTTATTACTTTTTAATATAATCCTATAGTTTAATGTAGTTTATTTTAGTCACATGAATATATATGAAAGATTCATAGTATAATTTAACTATTTTCATAACTTGATTAAATAAAATATTTATTTATTTCTAAATATTAAGAAAGAGATGTCTTAAAGTAACTAGATGTCTTATTCTGATATTTTAAAATAAATAAATATCGTGCTTATAAAAACCTTAAAAAAATCAAGTTTGTCTTCTTTAGTTATGTCTAGTTTGGTTATATCAAATTATTTTAATATGATTTCTTGGGAAGAATTATCACATTCTTATTATTTCAGTTGGAAATAAAAATTTTCGTTCTAAAATAATTTAGGGATTAGTTTCTCTTCAATTGAAAATACTGGAATATTTTATATTTTTCCTTAGAATTATGCGATTGAATATAAAATAATAGGATCATAAATTAAATTTATATTTGAATTCTTAAATTTCTATTACCAAAGACTATTTATTATCGACGAGTACCAATTTTGGTCGTTGTGTGGTACTAATCATTTCCCAAACGTAACTGACCATAAATATCTTTTTATTTATAAAAATAATGAATTTTTGGTTATACGCAAACCGATTTATCTTTTAAATGATGTTTTCTTAAAAACTCTTTTAAAATATGATTTTTAGGTATTCGGCATACCTAACCTAAAAAGTCGATGGCGACTACTAAACATTTCATGAAAAACCATTTAATTCACGTACTTTTCCGCTAATAAAATTTATACCCGGGTAAAAATCAGTTACGACAATATAATTATAAAGTATTTACATATCGTCTTTCTAAGTTAATATAATTATCAAAATATGTATCAATTTATCAATTGATTTAATAATACAAAAGAATATTATTTTTCATAAAAATACGTTCAAGTAATTACATCATTAAGGTGTAAACGTATTAAATGGTTAAAAGAATTTTTAGTCAAATACTATAATCATCTTAAACTATTTAAAAAAATATTTCAAAAACACATTCAACAGTAATTTTCAATAATATTAAACTCGTGTGGATTACTATTCCTTGATAATAAGTCAAGCAATATATATATATATATATATATATACTCAGCCGCCATTTTTGAAAACTCGTTAAATGAATTTGACACGTGAACTTTAACATGACGTGAAAACAAACAAACAACATACTTTAAGGGAAAATAGATAGATAAATAAAAGGCATGTTTGGTCTTCCTGGGAAAAGGGTTCAAGCTTTCTGACTTGTATAATTCTTGTTTATACTTTTTAAAAAAGAAGAAGCCAAGAATCTTTGTAGTTCCTGGAGATGCTCAACCGATATTATATTAATTAAGTATCACGATCCAAAACGCTAATTAACCTTATAATAATTTCTTAATTACTTTATTATTCCCACTTTATACCTAACTATACATGTGCAGTAGCTCCTGGAGTAATGATGATGATAACTCTGCCGAGATTTAGAATTACCGATTCGCATGTGCGATTTATCAGGGTTAGTAATCAGCAGTAATGGATCAGGTAAATTGCCAGTTCAAGACAGTGCCAATGACAGCGGCCTAAACTTTGCCTAGTTCATGTACTTTTAGCAACTTGTTCGTTATTTAATTAAATTGAGATGATTGTTTGCAGTCCGTTAGATCCAGTTCAATATTTTTCACCATTTCTTTCCGGATTTTGATGAAGCATATAAATTACTTACTCTAAAACTCAGTGTTCTTGTTTAATTATCCCAGTTGCTTAAAAATTATTTAAAAACAATAGTGTAATGAATTGAATATATGTAACCTTTAGATATTTGAATTTAAATACAATGTTTGAATTAATCTTTTGTCTATTCAGATTTAGGAAGAAGATATGTTGGATTTTCAAATTGAAAACATTTGAATAAATATATTATCTTCTAAAATGTAAAATATAAAACTAAATATTTGAATTTAAATATAATATTTAAATTAGTCTTTTATCATCGCAGTCAGTCAGTAGGGGAATCGTAGTCAGTCATTAGGGGAGTTAAAAAAAAAATACTTGACCTGATTGATTAGATCTGTTGATCTGTCAATCCGATTAAAAATATCGAGTATTTATAATGATAATATTTGATTTTCCGGGTCGGATACCCAATCTGCTATATTTGAGTTTTCTTATTTTTCTTACGGGTCACGGGTCACAAAATGTTGCTTAATCGAACACCCACCGATATGGTACCTGGCTTTTATATATATATATATATTATTTTATAGTAAATGTTTTATTCATAATTTTCAAATTATTTCACTCTAACCTCCTAAATTCCTAATTTCTTAAATTTTATCATCATAACATTCTAAATATTTAATTTCTTAAATTATTATACATTAACCTTCTAATTTATTTTTTAAAATATTTAATTTAACTTTGAACCATTTGAAGTTTAATTATATTTCTTTATTTTAATTTTTAATAAACTTTCTTTTAATTATGTAATTTGAATGTTTAAACTTTATTTGTGGATTATATATTACATACCAGATTTTAAATTTTAGAATTTTTCTAAATAAATTTTTAAAAATAATATAATTTTTTTAAAAGAATTGTCTGTCCAGCTCAATTGGTAGAGCGCAAGGCTCTTAATCTTATGATCGTGGGATCGAGTCCCACGATGGGCAATTCATAATTTTGACTACCGGAGGTCTCCCACGGAAGCTACTCTCAACCTGATGTTGGGAGCCAGCCTACTATCCTACCTCTCCATTACCCCACATATAAAAATAGGGTCAGTTAATTTTTTTTAATATAATTTTAAAAAAAATATATGAACAAGATACATGTGATCCGACAATACGACTACACTGTTACAGTACCTGGATATAACAAATCAAAAAATGAACCGACATTTTAATAGCTGAAAATTCCGGATATCCGATATTTAGAATACCCGATTTTGAACACCCTGTCAATCACCAGACAACAACTCCATTAACCCAGCACTTAACCAAAGGGATGATACTTCTCTTTGGGCTTTATATTATATGCCAGTTTGAGGTCCAAATCAAACGAAAATGCCCATTTGACTCTTAAATCTTTTTTAACTAACCAGTGAAAGAGTCGGAATTCTTTTCAACGACATATTTTCAAACAAATGGGGCAGTTTCGGCTTCAACAACAGGTCATGGCGCTGAAGCCGTATCCATGCACGTTAATGTCTTTGGCCTCTTCTTCTCATCTTCCTAAACTTTCCAGAATTCGTTGTTTCCCCGCTTTTCATACACTCAATGAACCCATCAAGGCTTATCATCTTCATTCTCCGCGGGCCGTTAAACCTCGTTTGGTATGCAGGATGAAGGGCTCAGGTAACTTCAAGAAATCTATTTCTATGAAAAACATGAAATTGTAATTTAAAATGTATTTGGATTACTTTTTTTCGACTTTTATGTGGAAAATAATTTCCGGGATGTCTTTTGAACGAACTCTGGCTGCTCGGTATTTTCCCGAGCAGTTAATGTGCAACTGCTGATATTAACTTTGGTGTCTTGATAAAGGAATAATCTATCACCCAATGTTATTTTCAGATATTATTTCGGATGTAGAACTCGGAAAGTCAGGGGATAGACGAAAACCAGAGAAAAGCGTCAATGGAGTGTTTTGGATTGTACTTCTTAATCTTGGAATATATGTAGCTGATCACTTGTTTCACGTACTTTTTCTTTCTATTGATTATAAACAATTATATTTTTCTACTGAAAAAATTAAGTTCAGTAATTCAGTTATGAATCTTCTTAACTCCGAAGCTTCCCTTTCAACAGGTTCAGGGTATTCAGTCTTTATATTTATACCATAATTGGCCTGCTTGGTACCAATTTATAACGTCAACGTTCTGTCATGCTAACTGGTAAGTTCTATATATACCATTAAGATATAAATGAATTCCAGGAATTTAATGTGTCTGCGTTTACATTTACATGTTCATTATTCTGCTTATCGTCTTGTTCAGGAAGCATCTTTCGAGCAACCTTTTCTTCTTGTACATATTTGGTAATCATTTTTGCTCTTTTCAACTTTGAAAAATGCTTGCAATCTTATGTGTAGGACGTGGTTTGAATTGATTTTAGGAGTTTGATTGATGGTATCCTTATTTGTAAAACAGGGAAACTTGTCGAAGAAGAGGAAGGAAATTTCGGGTTGTGGCTTTCTTACATTTTTACAGGAGCCGGAGCTAACATCGTTTCATGGTTGGTTTTACCAAGAAATGCAATTTCTGTTGGGGCGTCTGGTGCTGTTTTCGGTTTATTTGCAATCAGTGTCCTTGTAAAGGTATGCTAAATTCTCCGTACGTATATAGAAACATGTGAATGAATACTTCTATACTAGAACAAATGAAAATGGCTTGATCCCTTTTGCTTGTAGATGTCCTGGGACTGGAAAAAGATCCTTGAAGTGCTTATATTGGGCCAATTTGTAATTGAGAGGGTCTGAGATTTTGATTTGACAGTAGTTCATCTTTTATGTTGTTTGAAAGATTGTAATGAATCAACAATCTCATAATGTGTTGTTTGTTCGGGGCAGGTGATGGAAGCAGCCCAAGCTTCAACTGGCCTGACTGGATCTTCCTATGCCTTGCAAAGTGTTAATCACATTGCACATCTTTCCGGTGCTCTTGTTGGTGTTCTTCTAGTATGGCTTCTCGGCAAAGTTCCTTCTCAACCTCTTGATACAGATCTATCAGATTCTCTAAAAAAGAGAGGTTGAGTTTCTTAAGAATTTATATAATTATGCTTCGAATTGCGAGTTAACTCATGATGGAATGGTGATGAAACACCTGTACATGATTGCTTTGTTGAGAATAAAAAAAATGAATGGTTCTGTGAATTTTGAATGCTTCCCATATGTATATATTATTATGTTCCGAGAGAAATAAATCAATCAGCATTTCTTAATTGTAATTTTTCCGTGACAAAGAACACCTAAAATGGGGTTCTGGGTTTCCCTAAAGAAACAATAAAACCTCAGAAGAATCAGATTCAACTGCCGAAACAGCAAACAAGACATTTAGATGGGGATGGCAGCACTTCTCATGAAAATTTTCATTTCCAAAGCTTCCAGTTCCATTTCCCTAACAAGACAAGGAACATGAAGAACGAACCCAAATGATAGTAATCATAAATACCATTTTCTTTGGTTCGTCGTGCTGCAAAAACACAAGAAAAGTTTCGACAACCAAAGACGCCAGCGGGAGAGTCCAATAATGGCGTTTTCTCTAAGCCAATTTATAGAGACAAGTCCACTAGTAACAGTAAAGGCCTTCGGTTTTGCTTTAGTGGCCTTCGGTTTTGCATAACATGAGCTAAAATCTCGCTGCGCCTTATTTAAATAGGAGTGAGAAGCTACTCCCTCGTGTGGTTTTCACCTTCGTATGGGATAGTGAATCGCTCTTAGGGCTCACGCCTTATGGTTTTCGTGATGATTTTCACCTCCGTATGGACATGTGTGTCCCCTCGAATTGAACTCGATTCGAAAGCCTGTGATGGGCAAGGATTGAGGGTTCGGCAACCTAATGGGGCATCGACAAGGACAATTTGAGGACCTCTTACTTTAGAGCCGAACCCAACATATAGTAAACTTAGAACTCATATAGAGTCTTACCCAAATTATAAGAATCCCCTGAGGAGAATACAAAAGGAAAAGCCTTTTTGAGGCTTTTAATTTTTGTAGTGTAATTTTGATTTCCAAATAAATGTATGCGAACTAGAAATCATGCGGTTAGGTTTATTTTTCGAATAAGCTTGCGAACTAGATGACATGTGGTTAGGATTTTCTATAAACAAAACATGTGGGTAGAAATCATGTTTGGGTAGGATATACTAAAGCATGATTGGGTAGCTAGCATGTGGGTAGGTTTTTATTGACAAATTATATTATGTCCGATTAATTTCTTTATGATTATTGACTATTTTCTCTTGTCCTTTTGTTTTATTCTCATTTTGCATTGCACTATTCATCCCATGGTGTTGATCTGTGACCGATGTCTATATAAAAGGCTAGTAATATGGAACGAAGGATTCAACAAGAGGTAGAAGACAATGCGGACGTTCTGAGATGGTCCGAGTAGTCCCAGCTAACAAATGGAGACAATTTACAGCCTGGGTACGTGTCAGATATGATTGGGTACACTCACATCAATGTCCGTCAAAATGACCTGAGCGAGCTGAAAGAGATTTGGGGAAAGTGGGAAGTATCCGATAAGCAGTTGTTTTATTAACTCTATAGTGATATCCTGTATCTCTTAGACGTTTTGATTAACCAAAATCTGTTTAGAGCTTTGGCGTAATTCTGGAACCTCGTCTATAGCTATTTTCCTTTTGGTCGAGTGGACATGACACCTACCATATAGGAATACCACGCCTTGATTCGTTGTCTGAGATTCCAAACAGACAAGGTATACACCAAGCCGTCAAACACTCATTCCTTCAAGAGGAAATTACTTTTGATGACCGACATGAGCGAAGATTGGGTCGTAAGAGGTATAAAAAAGAAGGTAGATAACAAGTGCATTACTTGGATCGTTCAGAGAGAAGTGATTGACAGTCATCCTAACAGAAGAAAAAAGATTGACCTGTTTGCTCTGGGTATTTATGGGTTAGTCATATTCCTGAAGGTTATGTGGCTCGTTGATGTATCAGTAGTTGACTTGTTCGAGAGACTAGACAAACATGTGGGTCACATCCCAGCTATCTTCGCAGAAACATTCTATTCCTTGAATTCTTGCAGACAAGAAGGAGAAGAACGCTTAATAAGGTGCGCGCCGCTGTTGCTAGTCTGGATCCTCAGCCACTTCAAACACATCAAGAGGGTACCTGGTCGAGTGTTTCTATAAGGATTTTCACCTTTGATGGATTTCTTTTCTCGAGAATGGGCTGAGGGCTTCATTGAAGAGAAGTGGATGGTCATTTTAAAGATATATGAGACAGTGATATATTGTGGCGTGCTTCGCAGAACGTTTCCTCAGACATACTGTATAGGTGTGAAAAAAGAGATTGGGTTTCGTTGCCATGAATATAGGGTTCTGTAGGGTATGCTCCATTGCTAGTTTCCAGGCAATATGGTTCTAGGAAGTTCGTTCTGGTAACTTGGGATTTATCTGGGTCTGAGTTCGCATTCAAATGAAAACAGTACAAGAATAAAGTCAAAGGGGTTGCCGATGCATGAAACCACACTCGTAGAGTAAATCTCTTTACCTTCGAATTAAGGTTGTCACAAGAGTACGAGGGGTGGAAAAGTAACAGAGTTAATGATAATATCCCGATAGTCAATCCTGAAAATACTCAACCTATGGAAGAAAATCTCAGAGTGGTACCATCTCCGCTAGAACTAACCCGACCTGATTTTGAGGTTGAAAGGAAATAGTGGAAGGATACGTTGTAGAGATTGGAGGATGAGGCATACCAAAAAAGCTTAGAAATCGATATTCAAAAGGGTCGAGATGACCAGATAAAAAAACTAGAAAAACAACTCATATTGGATTTCGATGATATCCAGTTATCATACCAGTGAATGGTCAAAGCTCGGATGGCCACTAGCTCAAGTAAGTCTCCTACTGAATGGAGGCAGGAAGTCGCAAGTTTAAAAAGAGAAGTTAGGGAAAGCAGTGAAGAGCTTAAACTTTCAAGAGAAAAGAGTGTACTAGAGCAACAACTACAAGAGATTCGGGCCCAGAATGAGAAATTTAAGGGTAGAATCTTGAGTTTAAAGACAACTTTGCGATGGTACCGAAGTTGAGAAGTAGTTCAAACCGTGTAGAAGAAAAAAACTTGAAGAAGCGTATGAATGAATTTGAAGCTTTGGTTCTAGATTTTTAGAGAAGGACAAGTGAAATGCCGATAGTACCCTATGAAAGAGTTATACAGTGGCGCCATCGTTGAGAACATGCTTAATGGAGGGTTAAGCAAATGGATGACCTCATCGCGAGCTACCTGCAACATGCTCAAGGGGTGGCTCAGTACCTGGTTTATTTGTCACACGAAGCTGATACTGTAAGCGAATGATTGAAACCTGAGACTGAAGAAGCTCAAAGGATTTTAGATTTACTGGGGTACATTCAACAATCAGGGGAGATAGCTCAGATTTATCTATGATATGTTTAAGCCTTGTAACCAAACTTTGTTTATAATATAAAAAGTTGTTCTAAGTAATCGTTCCAGAATAAACACCTTGCATTGTATTGCATCTACATTGCATTTACTTTTCGCATTGCATTTTATTCATTAATAGTCATTTTTTCATATTCATTAATAAAATACCGATATTAATAAAAATGTTGTATGGCAGAATAATGGACAATTCTAAGCATCCGTACTATACTGGAAAAAAGGCAATGGACGAGAGAATTGCCCAAATTAAGAGGACTCAGCTCAAAATGCAAGAGAGTTTCAGGAAAGCTCAAGAGGAAATGCGAGAGTAAATGTTGAAAGCGCATAATGATATGATGGAAAGGCTGGCAAGTATATTGCAAGGAAAGAATACAAGTAGTGAAGAGACTCCGATTGTCGGTGCTGCCGTAGGAACCTGTGTATTCCCCAATATTCGAACCATGGGTTGATCGTAGAAAGGCTCCCACTATTGGTTCCTCTAAAGAACCCTTATATCCCCTGCCTTTACACCACCGCATGTTAGGGCACAACAGAAAATGACTACTCAACCGAAAAGAATACACATAAACTTACTTAGCACTTCCGTAAATCCACACCCTGTTGAAAATATCCCAGATTTTGATAAGGATGGAAAAAAGAGCAGAGTAAACAATTTAAGGAGGAATGAGAACAACTGAAAGATGAAATCCGAGCCATAAAAAAAGACGCTAGCTTATATGAGATCAATTCCAAGGAGCTAAGTCTGGTTTCTGATTTAGTGCTGCCACCCAAGTTTAAAATTCCAGATTTCGAAAAGTTTGATGACACAAGATGTCATTATGCACACTTTACTATGTTCTGTAGAAAAATAATTGGCTATGTGGGGGATGATCAACTGTTAATCCACTACTTTCAAGAGAGCCTGGCATGATCAACCATCTGTTGGTACAATAAGTTGAGCAGGGCTTAAATTAAATCCTGGAAGGACTTGGCTAAAGCTTTTCTGGAGAAGTATAAGAACGTAAAATATGTGAGGCCTAATTGAATCATGTTCCAGAGCATGGAGAAGAGGTCTAACGAAAGCTTCAGACAATATGCCCAAATGTGGAGGGGTGTGGCTGTACAAGTTCTTCCACCGCTTGAGGAAAAAGAAAACAACATGCTCTTTGTAAACACTCTGAGAGCTCCATTCTTTGTCCACCTCATAGGAAATTCGTCCAAGAGCTTTGCTGATATGGTCACAGCAGGAGAGATGATCGAAATGGCAATCAAAAGTAGGATGTTTGATGAAAGAGAATCTAGTAGGAAATCGCCAGCGAAAACAAAAGGATAATGAGGTCAGTAACGTGAGAAAGTGTGACTCAAACAACATTATTGTGTCTTGACCTCAAGCCACCGGGTCGTCTACACATGACTATGCCAGAAAAGGGGCGAGAGAACCAAGGCAAGAGAGGGAAAGGCTTCAATTTGACCCGATCCCCATGACCTACAAGGAATTGTTTCAGATCTTATATGATAAGCATGTGGTGTTTCCTTACCACACTTCACCTATGCAGCCTCTATACCCTAAGTGGTATGACGCTAATTCCCAATGTGAATATCACGCGGGGGCTTCAGGGAATTCAATAGAAAATTGCATTGCCTTTAAAAATATTGTACAAAGATTAAGGCAGATAAACGTCATCAACTTTGGTGACAGTGAGCAACCCAATGTGGCTCAAAACCCACTGTCGAACCATGCAGGGGAAGGGGTCAATGCAATTATCAAGGAGAGAGGAAAAAATATTACAACTGAGGTGAAGTCATCCATG